GTCATTAGCACCTCTAGTAATATATTTACTGAGAAAAATGGTGACGTGTTCAATACTTATTTTACCCGCTGTGTATATAAAAATAGCTTTTTTGTTTTTTTTTTTGTCAAAAACTTTGGCATTAAGGGAGGTTATTATACAAATCATACTTTTTTGCAGGGTGATAGACAAGCTGGCCAGGGGAAAAGACAGAAAGTGGGGTGGAGATACCAGCGTCTGCAACATAGAGGAGCAAGGAAAGGAGGACAGGGCGAGGTGGGGAACTTATTTCAAACAACTGAGTGAGTTAGGAGATGGTTATTTATTTATTTATTTATTTTTATTTTATTTTATGTCCTACAGACTATAAGATATAAAACAAATGTGATGCTGAGTTTTTGAAAAAATCGGAGCGATTTCTCTGTATGTCTGTATACCTGAAAAATGGGGGGAAATCCAAGTAATTTACAGACAATTCTTGAAGTGTATAAAGATGAGAGTGCGCTTTAGTCTTGCTCAGGTGGCATTAGCTCACCTGTCAGGTGAGAGATCAAACTTGTTTTTAAAACTGAAGTCATTCAAAGAGTTATCTACAACAGGTAAGATGTTCGTCGTTCACAACCTCTCCACAGAACCCCTCTTCAAACTACTCCTAAAAAGTTAAAGGATGATAATATGAATATTCTGATTAATTTCAACAATATTATCAGAAAACGGAACCTCTGATTGAACCTGCAGCCATTCCTGCACAACATTACCCCCTAAGTTTAGGTCTCAGGCTGGGAAATAGAAATATCCAAACAGCTTATTGTGATTTATGCTCTCACGTTGACCACTTTTCCATCTCTGCTGAGGGAAGAGTGGGAGCTGAGTCGTAGAGAAGTGAAACGGAGGAGAAAAGCCTTTGCCTTGCACTTCCCCTTGATTGATATATTCTCTCATCCACCACAAATCCAGCACCTGAAAAGTTCATCACTTCCAAGGAGGGGTTCTTGGGAAGGCACCAGCTTTGTCTGCAACAAGGAGAAGTCTTCCTGCGTCACGTTGCTTTAATTTGTTCAACAGCTGCCAATGAAAACGACGAAAAGTTCTCTCTCTCTCTCTCTCTCTCTCTCTCTCTCTCTCTCTCTCTCTTCTTGGCTTCGCATCCTCAGTCTGGCAAAGTGCACAGCTGCAGCCACACTCTGAACAAGTGTAATTTTTACTGTATGCTGAATGAGGCAAAGAAAAACTCTGATTTAATGTTGGCTTTGATCCAAATCCTGATCAGAGACCAGCGGAGCATGGGAGAGGCGCGAGTTGTGCCAGCTTGGTTTTTAAAAACTGTTTAATCTTCTTTAATGTGATCAACATAAAGCTGTTAATGGACTATAATCACACGAACAAGGCAAACATTTGGTTATTGCATTAAAAAAAAGTGGCACTATGATCTTTCAAAGATGATTCCAACGCTGATGACTTGGTAAAATGGGTTTTGGTTTGGAGGAATCAGACATAAACCGAAATGATGTTGCGTCTCAGGTGACAAGGAGGGGCTGCGCCCTCCATACCTCTGCAGAGCGCGCACTTCCGGCACTGTCCACTGCACATATATAAAGCCGTAAAAACGGACCCTTCCTGAAACACTCAAAGTTTGCAAAGCGCAGGAACTGCCTCAGCCTTTTCTCTCCCCGTTGCAGTGCTGGAGCTTTGGATGAGACACAAGCAGAAGGCACAATTTCGCAGTAAAAGGTAAAAAAATTGGAAGTTATTTCGCTGGAGATTATTTCAAATGTATACTGCGCTTCATTAAGAATCCTGTGCTTTTTATTTCCAGAAGCATCTTGGAATCGGGACGTTCTGCCTCCAGCGTGTTAGAACACCAAACATGAAACTTCAGCTGTTTGCCATAGACTTGATATTCCTGTGCATTTCGTGCGGAGCAAGTGCGCTGGCATCGAGTATCCCCGCTGCGTCCTCGCCAGGTGCCAATGTCACCAGTGGCGCAGCGCGCACCGGCGGTGGAGACGCGTCAACTCTACCCAAAAGCAGGAGGAAGCGTTACATCAGTCAGGACGACATGATCGCCATCCTTGATTACCACAACAAGGTCAGAGGCAGAGTGTTTCCTCCGGCATCTAATATGGAGTACATGGTGAGTGGAAGCTGTCATTCAKTTCTCATCGTTACGCACGAATCATGTTGTAAAGCATTCGCCTCGAGGTCAAAATGGAAACTTCTAATCAGATATGTGGCTTTCACATTTATTTTAATCAGGTTTTAAATGTCTTTTTTTTCTTTTTTCTTATTTCTTTGGTTTGAATTGGACATGCAGTTTAGTATTTTCCAAAGGAAGAGGGCTCTGCAGGGACTAAAGCAAACTTTGTTTTATTTGAGCCATTTCCATTTCAAAAATTCTTTAAAATCTCTATAGAACTCCAATAAAAAGCCCATTCAGTACCAAGAACCAATCAGCATCCGTAAAATGTTAAGTGTGATGCTGAAATTAGTAATTTATTCTAATAAAAGTATCAGATACTGAAGGGGAAACTCAAAGGGTTAATAGAATGGTAACCCTCTACTTTGATGGATGGGTTTTTACAGTGTGAACTCACCTTGTTTTGTTATTCTGACATTAATCACCTGATGGATTTCCTGTCCTCCACCTGTGTGTTTAGGTATGGGACGAAACCTTAGCAAAGACWGCAGAGGACTGGGCTCACGCCTGCCTGTGGGAGCACGGACCACCTCACCTCCTCAGGTTCCTGGGCCAAAACCTCTCAGTCAGAACCGGACGGTGAGTGCCAACATCTGCTGCTCCTTTAAGAGACAACTCTCTCTCTCTCTCTCTCTCTCTCTCTCTCTCTCTCTCTCTCTCTCTCTCTCTCTCTCAGCAGTAGTGGTCATTCTTGTAGCCCCTTATTTTGGTTTTGTTTTGTTTCCTCCTGAAACTTTCAGTGCTGTGAACCAGTGACTAGGAATGCTCCTGTGACCCATTTCTATAAACAAAAGTTGTMCTTTCAGCCATGACCCATGAGGACAAAGGCTCTATCCCTTCAGTTGGTCTTGAATTTCCATTTGGACACACAGGGCACCTCCATGTGCTCCTAAACTTTAAGATTTTATTGACGAGCAACATGAGACCCAAGGGAATATAACTTATTCTGGCCGTTATTGTGCAGTCTCTAAAAAGACTGATAGTGCTGCCTTGGAATGCCAACATGTTCTTTTGTTTTATCTTTTCTGTGCAAAAGACTAGCCAAAGTGAAGGGCTCGAGCTGTTCTTTGGCACTGATCTATATAATAAATAAATAAAAGTTATTGGACTCATTTGGAGCCAAAATCTCTCCAGCAAGAAAAAATGGATAAAGCTTCAATGGCTTTATCAAGCTTGGAAAATGTAACATATTTTCAACACTTCAGAAACTGGGATTAAAGGTCTGGTCATTTTTGAGCTACTAACTGAGAATTTAACTAACCTCCTGGTAAACTATATTCACAGACAATGTGTCAGTTCTGTGTTCTTGTCCAGATAGCATCCGTTCATACTGGCTGTTGTTTTTGAGAAATAGTTTTGTTATGGAAATATTTATTTAACAAAGACAGAAATACGTGGTCCAAGAATGAAGGTACTCCGTGRGATGATCAGCTGAGTTTTATTGCAACAACAGGAAACACAGAGAACCTGGCCTGTCTCTGCTTCTCTCTGTCACTGTCTCTCCACACTACTGTTGAACACTCCACTCGAGAGGCCTCATATATATATTAACAAACACCATTCTGTCATCTTAGCAAGATTTGATACAAGGTCAATGGAAAACACAAAGATAAACACAAGTGATATCTAAGAATGACTGTTGTTAGCAAATCTTGATCTGACTTTAATCATTCTATCTGCAGATGAACAGCATGTCATGAAAACCTGGGTCATTAAAGGATGTCATGATTTCCTTGCTTAAACATAAAAGTATTGGTTCTATTACACTCCCCCATCTGATCATTAAATCACCAATTAAATGATCAATAAAACAAAAAAAACTCTTTAATGTATTTAAAAAAACATGTCAACATAAACCTATGTATATGTACTTTTCTTAAATCCCAACCCCAGTAATTCAATTTTTATTCCTCCCACAGTAATAACTAACCCCAAAACAAAGTTATCACACAAAAGTCTTTGGATCATCTTGAACACAAACAGGATTGTCTGTTTTGATGTGTCGAAGGGTCAGAGGTAGTGGTGGGGCTCTGTGACTTTTTGTAGATCTTGATTTAGTGCGAGGGGATGGAAATGGAGGGTTACGTGGATTTGGACATGGTGTTTGTTTGATCTTAATCTCGCCAGGTTCTTTCATGTTGTTTAATAAACCTGAAAAATGATGTAAAGCTAGCTCATTTGGCTAGCTATTAGCCTAGCCTGGAGGAATACTTCTGCCCTTTTTTCTATACTGATGTTATGGCTGATGCAATGCTATTTGACAAAACATTTTAAAATGACCAGATTATTCCTTTAATCAACACTGTGACCAGATTTAGGTGGTTTTAACATCCAGGGCTTCAGAAACCACAACAACAAAGGCAAGAATCAGTTACAGAAGCTGCTGTGATYATATTGTTTACCTTCCTTTTTCCGGATTCTTGAATGAATTTTATGTTTTGATCTGTTTCCCCTAATGACAGACAATTTTGTTTAGAATAACGAGGGTAAATCAGACATATATTACATTGACGCAGCTGTGGTTCAGTGGTATAGGGCAGCAGACTTGGGATTGGGTTGATTCCCCATCATCCCCACATGTTGTGGTGTCCTAAGCTCGTCGGACGCTCACACAGATGCCCATTTCTGCACTTGGATGTATCTCGTGTGATGGATCAAATGCAGAGCACAGATTTTGTCATTGTATGAGAACATGCATTGATGACAATACATTTACTTTTGACCTCCTTGTCATCATTGATTTAGCAAACAGCTACTAAACAACAGTTGTGATCACTGAATGTGTTTGGTTCACAGCTACCGATCTATTCTTCAGCTGGTGAAGCCCTGGTATGATGAGGTGAAAGATTACTCCTTCCCTTACCCCCGCGACTGCAACCCCCGTTGCCCTCTCAGGTGCTACGGACCCATGTGTACTCACTACACACAGGTAGGTTTCACGTTTTTAACTGTCTGCTGATGAAAGGTGAAAGGCAGCTGATAATGTAATTGCACGTGCGTGTGTTCAATTGTGTCACGTAGGAAAACGTTTGAATTCAACCTGATTCAAGATGGCTGCCACAGCAAATAGGAATCAATCCAGTCAGTCACACATTTCAAGCTCTCACAGGCGGAGCAAGAATTTGCAATATTGCATGAGATTGTGCATAAAATGATAATCAAGATCCAAGTCATTTCTCAACATAAGATGATCTTAGTTTAAGCTTTGGCATGCCAGTGGACCTTTAATTATTAAGAAATGAGCATGTTGCAATTGTTGATTTTTCTGGGTTTTTTTTGCAGATGGTGTGGGCAACATCTAACAAGATTGGCTGTGCCATCCACACCTGCTACAACATGAATGTATGGGGGTCGGTGTGGAAAAGGGCAACATATTTGGTCTGCAACTATTCCCCCAAGTGAGTATCTCGTAACCCGATGCAGTGCTAATTTTCTAAGATAAGATAAGATAAGATAAGATAAGATAAGATAAGATGAGATGAGATGAGATGAGATGAGATA